GGTATGTCTACACTGCAAAGGAAAACCTGTGGCTGGCCTGTGACAGCCAACTTGACCTCAGGCTGCAGGGTTGTTTTATTGCTGTGTAGGCTTCCAGGCTCGGGCTGGAGCTTTGGCTATGGGACCTGCAAGGTGGGAGGGTGCCAGAGCTCAGGCTTCAGCCCAGAGCCTGGTCATTTACACAACAATGAAACAGCCCCACGAGCCAGCACAGGTCGGCCTCAGGTCTCTAGTTGCTGTGTATGCATACCCACAATCTGCAGCCATGAATGGCTCTTACAAATCACACAGTTTGAAGTGACCTATTTGTGGAAATACCTGTGCCAGACATGTGACTCTGTGATCATTAATCGAATAAACATGGTAAATGTTCGATTTGTGTGGCAATGTTCTGTTTTTATTGTTAAAGCACTTGTTATTGAAATCACAGTGCTGTGGAGAAGGTGTTGGTACCATGTAACTGTCTCAGCAACACAAGATCATACTGGGGGGTGGGTGGGAGGGAGTTTTTAAAATTTAACTTTGAAAGTCTGAATGTCCAGGTGGAGGGAAATTCCATCAACTGGAAGTTCATCATAATGGTATAAGCAGACAGAGTGCACGGAATGGGTTGGAACACAAACTAAATTTAGGGTGTAATGCATAAAATACTAAAAAGATAAGCCAAATTCTTATGGGCATAGGAAACCCGTGTATTGCAAGTCAGTTGTTCACCCATACACCGTCCCTTCACTCTAGTTTTCTATATGGGGTGTCTGAGAAATCAAAGAAAATATGGGAAGTAAAAAACGGAAATGAGAGACGGTTGGGCACCTGACGTGTTTATAAGTATGTGTTGCAAAAGAAATCTCAGATTAGAAAGTCTGCATGTGTTGGAACCCTCCATCTCCCAGCTGTTCTTGTCTTTTTTCTCCCTGCCTCCAGTTCTCCTCCCCCGCCCTCCCCCCCCAAGAATTCTAGACTAGGTTGCTTGAATCTATCCTGACCCAAAAGATTTAAGATGGCAGTTACCATTGTTAGGAGGGCCAAGTTCATCCCTGGTGTACTGTTTGCTTAGGATGCATAGAAGTCAGCAAAGGGCGGTTAATGAATGACCTTCTTATGGAATACTTAACTTTTGGTCTAGGGAACCACATGCTATTTTTTTTTTTTTTTTTTTGTGGTGGGAAGGGGAATGCAGGTCCAGAAACGACCAAATTCTGATGGGCCCTGCAGGGCTTTTGTTGCGCCTGAGTTCCCTCATCCTTGAAGAGTTTAAATAATTTGAGCTGGTTCTTAGGCTGTGAGGCTGCTAACTGTTGTTCTGCAGCTGGTATTGGAGGTTCTGTAAATGGAATAACTGTTGGCTGCAATGAGTCATCTCATTATTGCTGATACTAGCTAGTTGTTTCTGTTTAACAAGGATCTGAAACTACTCTAGTGTGTAGCAGAGTTCAGGCCACATCTCCGTTCTGATATACTCAAACTGTAGCTTCCTGCACTTCATGCTCAGGAACACCCTAAAATGTTTGTTACAAATGGGATCTGGCTGAAGAATTCAGAAAGGATGGTGTTGTCAGACCAGAGGGCCCTTCTTCTCTGTAGAGTTTTACAAGAGATCGAGACTAGCACTGATAGTGCCACACAATGGTCTACATCAGGATGTGAGCTGTGTATGAGTGAGAATTGGAGTATTTGCTGTAGCCAGGTACCTAAAAGTAAATATCCAGGTTCTATTCAGGGTAAGCTCATCCTAGCTCCTTGTCATGTGATGTTGCTAATTCCTATCTGTTGACTGAGTGTGAGAGTTCGCAGGGGTACAGTGCATCTGGGGCTCTCATTATTCAATTTACTCTCCCAAATGGAAAGCCTTCAGATTGACATGCATATATTGTATACACTCGTCTATTTTTGTGTGTGTAGAAACCATTGAAAGAGTCAGGGAATAACTAGGGGCAGAGCCCCTAGTTAAACAACTTTGATTTTATTTTGTTGGGTTTTCTTTCATTGCTCTGGGCAATTCCTGTTTTTCTGCAATAAGGTGGTGTCTTAGCTTCTACATGGTATCATCAGCAGGGTCTTCCTCTGAGACGGACACAAAACCAGATTTACTGAGACACAAATTGAAGTGAAGCACCTCTGCTCCCGAACATTTCTGGACGAGTGACCTGCACGGAGTCCGTTTAATCTCAGCGGGATTCTGGCCGCTGTTTCCAAGACTGTGCCCCACACTGCTGCCCTCTTTGTGTCTGCCCTTCACACTTGTGTCCCTCTCATTGGCGTGCATGATGCGAATCCGTGTTGTAATGTTATTAGTGTTTACTCTTACAACAACAATGAATGAACCATCCTTAAAGTATTGCCTGTTCTGTTTTCTTTTTCTCCTGAGGAGAGTTCCCTGACTGTTTGACACACACAATCAAAAGTTATAAGGTCACTGCATTGCCAGTGTTTCTCCCACCCTCCCTCCTAGCCCACAACTAAGCACTGCAGCTGTCTTAATAGAGTGCTGACACAGGGAATTCATTTCTGTTTTGTCTAATTCTTGTTTGTCTGAGTTTAACCTTTCACCCACATCTGTTTCCTATGGCCTTATCTCTGCGAATAGCCCAAAGCATTGAGGCTCTGGGTGAAGTGACCCCTGTGTATCCCTTGCCTCCCTCACAGGAGTGTTGTAAGGCTTACAATTTATTAAAATACCGTGAGATCCAGGAGATGGGAGTCTGGTAGGACTTAGAGCAGGTCTGCAATATATGCACCGAATCTGAAAATCTTTTGTGACGAACACCTCAAATGAGGGGGTGATTTCTCTGCATCAGATGTAATCACAGTGCTCCAGCAGCAATCCACCACTTCTCCATTCTGCACTTGTAGAATGGATGCTGATAGGCCCAAAAACACACAATGGGTCATGTGGACAAAGGAACTGGACATGAAGACATGGAAAACAGGCAACAGAGGGGGGACAGGATAAAGGTTTATAAATATTGGCATGAATAACAAAGGGGAAGAATAGGTCAAAACTTGTTGTTCCTTGCCAGGGGAAGCCTGAGACCCCATTAGTGAAAGTGCTAATGAGAGAACCTAGATGAAAAAAGGTAGAAAGACTCCAATACTTCTGGGGGGTATGTGGAGCACCTGTGCTTGTATATTAGGTATGTGCATGTAGAAGGCACTTTCCCAGTCACCAAATATTGGTGTCACTGAGTATCTGTAGGTATTTGAAACCTGGAGGGTAGAGCAGAGTTTATTTCCAGTTGATACAAAGCTGGGAGTAATCATGTTGGCAGATGGAACTAAAACCATAGCTCAGACTTATAGAACTAGTTTGAACTCAATAACTACATTCTCTAAAGGTATAGAGGTTCTGGTAAGAGGGAAATATTCTAAAGCCTGACATGCAGGGTTGCCGGGCAGTGGGACCACTAGGATTAGAGAGAATGATGAAAGACCTAGATTTGGTAATGCTGAACAAAAAGGCAAATGTCCTATTCAGCTGTCTCTCACACAAGATGATTCGTTTTTTCTTGGCGCTGTTTAGATCTCACTTAAGTAATGAGTTCAGTTTTGGGCACCATTCTCATATATACTCATGCATAAAAAAAATCTCTAAACTTGTGAATGTTAAACTTTGTCAGCTGTATTTGGCAATATTTACTATCATTAAAACAGTTTCTTATTAAATACCATAGAAAAGTTCTATATGACATTGATTTTCTCCAGCTGGGGAAAGACCAAGTCCCTTGTCATGCCAACAAAGCTTACTTGACTTGAAAATTGATCCTGCCAGAAAACAGAAATATAAATTGCTGATGCACTCCTTCTATATGTTAATGAAAATGAATGCAGCACGCTTTCTTTTTAGAACTTTCTGGGAAGTTGTTGCAAGAGAATGAAAGAGCTGACAAGAGGCAGTGAAACTACTAACGTAAACAGAGATGAGCTTATGTTGAACTCCTTTTCAAACTGCCCTGATTCCATAGTTGCCATTTTGTGTAAGATAAATAACAAACTTCATTCTATTTCTATAGGGGAGTTTGCAGCTGGCATTCTTCACCTGAAGGCAAAAAAAAAAAAAAAATCAAGAAAGAAATACGATCAATGTTTTGGACAATACAATTTGGGAGTTAAGAGAATTGAAATTTTAAAGTCTGGGGAAAGGAGAACTATCTACAGGTATATAGAGAACCCAGATGAGCCATCCTTCCCTGTCATCCAGGGAGCTTGGAAGGTTCATAACTAGAAGAACAATTGGGGCAATGGAATAAGTGGTCTTGGAGGCTGTTAAATCACCATCTTGGCGAGTCAGGCCTAAAACTAGAGATTCATCTATTGGGACTAGGCGCTGTTCTTAAACTGCTCCTATCACAGTGCAGGGAGTTGAGGTGACATAGCTCATCTGAATGTCAGGCTTTCAAATGATTGTTCTAGACCAGGGGTAGGCAACCTATGGCACTCATGCCGAAGGCGGCACATGACCTGATTTTCAGTGGCACTCACGCTGCCCTGGTCCTGGCCAGCGGTCCGGGGGGCTCTGCATTTTAATTTAATTTTAAATGAAGCTTCTTAAACATTTTAAAAACCTTATTTACTTTACATAAAATAATAGTTTAGTTATATATTATAGATTCCTAGAAAGAGACCTTCTAAAAATGTTAAAATGTATTACTGGCACGCAAAACCTTAAATTAGATGGAATAAATGAAGACTCGGCACACCACTTCTGAAAGGTTGCCGACCCCTGTTCTAGACTAAGGGCTTGTCTACACCGAGACTAGAACAGAAATAATTGTATGGGTTGTAATTCACACCTCTGGTAATCTTGGTGCAAATCTGTGTGTGCACACCTTTATTCTGGATTAAGATTGGTAAATTGTCTGTGTATCTAGGCAATTGTGATCTGTGCCTTTTGTTGCAACAGCCTGTGTGCAGGGCTGTTCTACCTGCCCCTCTTTTTGTAACTGGGTTTAATGTGCTGTCTTCCTCACTATACTATAACGTTTCTCTTTTATCCCCTATAGAGAATTTTACCACCAGCTTCGCGCATGGCAACAGGACAGAGCAGGAGGCTGTGATTCGGATCAATGGGTGGCTCATCTGCCCGGAGCAGGATGAAATGCTGAACCTGGCTTTTACCGTTGGATCCTTCTTGCTGAGTGCAATCACTCTGCCTCTTGGGATTGTCATGGACAAATATGGCCCTCGCAAACTGCGTCTGCTTGGCAGGTTGGTGTCATGAAGCCTACCAACTGTTTCAAAACCAGAAGTTAATTTTGAGTCAGAGGTTATGCTTAGTCCTCAGTTCAATAGTTTATGGCAAGCAGCTCATTCTACTCAGGTTCTCGTTTCATGCCTATCACCAGGGGATCTCATCTCCATGGTATCTGACCACTATTGTTGTCTTTGTAAAATGGATACCCAGGAGGGGGGGGGAAGCCTGTCTGCTGTTGGACTGGACTGGAAATCTCCCAGAGCTCCATCAGCCATGAACAGGGTAGGGTTGAGGCTGACAGGTGAACTCATTTAAATCTCCCTACAAGGAGAAGGGGATGGGACTTGCATCCATGTTCCTAGAGTCTCTGACTTCTGAATTCCCTGGGGTAACAAGGTTCTGGGGGGAGAGCAGAACTATTCCACTGTGTCAGTAGGGATGGGAGTCAAGCTGATACTAAGTCAATGCCCCACCATGGTGCTAGTGGCACAGTACTGCTGAAGGTGCTATATTACACAAGAAAATAAGGTCTGTCTTGCTTGTGGTTACTAAATTATCCCATCCCACATGTCTTGCAAGAACTGGATGTTACCCCATTTACTCCAGAGTTAATTGCGTATTGCCTGTCTAAAGCTTCCCTTGTGCTTTCAAGTGGCAAAGGAATATATGCATCACTTCCTGTCTCAAATTACCATGTGGAGTTGGTATTAACAGCTGCTGTGATAGAATGCAGGGGAGAAGTGTTTATTGGGTAACTGGGTTCCAGACTGTCTAGATCTGTAAATATTCTAACTATGTGAATTGCACCTGGAACTGAGCCAGTACCATGTGCTAAGCACTGAGGGCAGGTATTTGTGCTCATTGACCTGCCTCACTTGGGAGGTGGGCAGGTGAAGGCTCTGAATGCTCTTCATACAAACTGCTGCTTTACAGTAAACCAGCCTAGAGGTGACTGACGTCTGGATAGATGTGAGTAGGGCCATGTCATAGGGGAAGGTGGTTGCAGTCTCCTTGTCTTATGCAGATAATGGGACACTGACACTGCCTGAAAATTCAGAACCTGTTAGGACCTCAAGTTTGAGTTTTGCATTGGGAAGGGTTGACTCTTCAATACCCATGGAAGGTGCATGTAGAACTTTCATCTATTACTCTAGATATTTGTCTCCAAACCATCGGCATCCCTTCCATCTTATCCAGATTCTACTTCAGCCAATTAACTCTCCAAGTCTCCGCCTTAGCCAGGCACTGAGACTGCGGAGACAGTGTAACTTATCTATAGTAGGCTTTCTTACATGTGGTTAAAGGCTTCAATTCTGTTTCAGTGCCTGCTTTGCTGTGTCCTGTGTGATGATTGCATATGGAGCTAGTAACCCAAATTGTAAGTACTGAGCTCTGTGGACTCAATTGAAAGGGCCTTGGGGTTGTTATACTTTTGAAAGGTTCAGCTAGTAACTAGGGGCTGTAGTGTGCAGAGAACACTAAAATAAGGGCACATACTCTGATTATAGTGTCCTCAGCGAGCTAGAGAGATCACCCCCAAGAAGTACAGCACAAACTTTGCTTATTGCCTACTGGGAGGGTGCAGTGGCTCAAAGGCAGGCCCAGCTCCTCTTGTGAGCACTGATGGGCATGCAGCCAGGGTCCCATACTGCAAGAATCCTGTGAGCAAAAAGTTCAAAAAAAAAAAAAACCTGCCACCTGCTTTGTATCACGTATAAAGTATAATAATCTTGCACTGCAGACCAGGCCTGCCAGTGACAAGTGAGAGACAGAGCCCCATGGTGTGTTGAGGGGGCATTAAGCTTGGTCTCCAGAGGGAAGATTTTGGGTGTGCTGCTTGTACAGGCCCTTGCTTAGCAGTATCAAAGGTGGCTTTGAGGCAGCTGTCTCTTTCCCAGCTTCACTCTTTTGCCAGAGTGAAGGTGCCTCAGCAGTGGTGAGCTCACAGTGAGAAATGTAAGAAAAAAAAGTTGAAAGGTTCCTCCAGAAGTAAGAGGTGGGCAGTAACCAATGCTGACTGTTCAAGGCTTCCCCAGCCCCAGGATAAATATAGCCGTATCCTCTAGCTGAGATAGTGAGGTGGTCCCTGGAGCCCAGTTCTAAAAAGTAAATTTTTCTTTTGAGACCAATGCTGACCAATGAGACAGTTCAGAGGGGCGGGAGGAGAAGACCTTGGACTCCCACACATCCCAGAGAAAAAACTAGTGTCCATGGCTCTGCAAACTGATGCCCACACTGAATTCTGATTCTCCTAGTACCTGAACGTCTTTCCCTGTGACCTTGGCTTAGAATGAACAGTGTGGAGCTAGAATGAGCCAGTTTGGAAGGAATCTTTCATTCTGTGCAGGGCATTGGCTCAGTCCTTGCCAAAATTCTACTTGTTGGAACCAGGATTTTTGGGGACACTGTGATTCCATCCAGTAAATGCTCTTGTTTTTCCACTGCAGCACTGTCAGTGCTGATCTTCATCTCACTGTCTCTGAATGGCTTTGGTGGAATGTGCATGACCTTTACCTCACTTACGGTAAGTGAAGAGAGTTATTACGTGAGCAATTGTGAATCTGCCCTCCCTTCATTTATCCTCTTTGGCCTCCACCCCACAACTCTTTGCAAGGCCCCATATATAGGGACTAGGGAGATCTTATTTCCCCCTTATCTAGCTCAGTGATTCTCAAACTTTTGTATTGGTGACCGCTTTCACACAGAGAGCCCCCCCACCCTTATAAATTAAAAACACATTTAAGCTGGAGGCAAAACGGGGTTTGGAGGTGAAGGGTAACCACTTGTGACCCCCATGTAATAACCTTACAACCCCCTGAGGGGTCACGACCCCAGTTTGAGAACCCCTGATCTAGCTGGTGAGCTGAACTGGCAGGAAGGTGCCAAGTGGATCCTTCGTTTGCTGAGTTGAACAGATTCATGCTCACCTGTATTTTTGATACGAATGGGGTAGTTGGCCTATGATTCTTCTATTTGAAAAGCTTGATATTGGATGGTTAGCCCAGGGCTCACCTGTCCCTTACCAGTGGGGATAGTTGGTGAGAGGGAAGCGAAGGCTCTTTTCCGTACTTTGAGCCAGATTCTGCATTCACTTACACATGTGCAATGCAGCTGACTGAAGCAGAGCCCACATGTAATGCATTGAATTTAGCTCTAGCTTACTCTTAGGAGAAGGTGGAGGGGCACAAGGCTCTTGAAAGCTGAAGGATGTAGTGAAATCTTGGGCAGGAAGGTGGGGAAGTACTGTTCTTTTGTAAATGGCAGATACTACTGTTTGTAGTGCTGCATTGACCAGCAACAAGCAATTAACAGCATAGGCTGTTCTGAGGTGGGGGGACAAGTACTGGTACAAACCAGTTCCTTTTGAGCATGGCTGTGTGACTTTTTTCTCCTTAGATAGGGAAGGAGAGTTCCTTGGCACAACGGGCTTTGCCCTTTTATATGGATGAGAATTACTCCAAGGTGCTGACAGACTTTTTCTTGGAAGTGCTGAGCTGTTCAAATGTGCCCAGCCCAGCTCCATCTGTGCAGCGTACTTATGTCTGTTTACTCAGTCCATTGACTGGAGCACAAACATCGACCAGTGACTAAGTCTGCTGCCTCTCTGCATTTTGGGGCTCTTGTTGCTTAGAGATGGGAGCAGATGCAGCAGAATTGATTTTTCACCTCATTACTCTTACCCTTGTTCGTGTGGCTGGAACTAGGTGTTCCGAGTTGAACATCTCTCAGAAAGCGGCTTGTTAAACCGTTGTATCACCTGTTTGGATCCAGCTCACTTTCACCTTGTTTCTAAATTTCTCTCTAACCTGTGGGTTACACACAGGCTGAGTTCCTGTGAATTGTCATGGGCAGAGGCTGAATTTGGAGGCTGTTGTATGTATTGTAATGTCAGAATTGTGGCAGCTGCTTTAGATAGCAAGTAAAGTTAGAGTCCAAAAGTTTAAAAAATGTGTATAAAGCCAGGCTTCTAAATTATCTGAAAACCCTATCTGTGGCCCTGGACCCAACGAGTGTGCAGGGTAAATGGAGTATGACACAGGCAGAACATAAGGAGACAAACAGCTAGGAGGGGCCCATGAATAAGCCTGCGGGGCTACTAAGGTGACTCATATCATGTTCGTGTCAAGGGTGGTGGCTTTCTAACTTTGTGTTTATCTGGGTCGCTATTGGAGAGATTGTAGGATCTGAAGGAGGAGATGGAGGTCGCATACTATATGGGAGAGGCTGTGTGTGGAGAAGGCAGAGCCCCCGTATGCAGGCATCTTTAACTGTGTCTTTCCTGACGTTCTGTCTGACTAGCAATGAAAATTCCACACATGGTCCCTCTTATTAGGGTTACCATACGTCCGGATTTTCCCGGA